CTCCCGCGAGTCGTCCGAGGGTAGCCTCTTCCGCGCCCCGTCGGCCATCCTCTCGTCCATCCTGGGTGACGTCGTGCTCGTCCTGGCCCTGGTCCTTGGTGGTCGGCTGCTCGAGCTCGACTCCTGTGGGCTGCTCGTCGCCTTCTCCCGCATCTCTACGTACAGTATGAACTGTTTCATCGCGTCGTTGAGGTGCTTCGCGGACCCCCTGATCCAGTCGCAGTAGTCCGGGTGCTGGGCGAGTACCTCCTCGAACGTCTTGCCGCGATGCTTCTCGCCGAATGCTATCTTTCTGCTGCCCCAGCTCTGCGCCAGAATCTTCGGGTCGATCGTAGCTCTCGTCAGCTTGGCATCGTGGGTCCACAAGGCCTCCTGCAGGTCGATCACCCTCATGTTCTGCGGGAGCTCCGGCAGTGGGGCGTTCCACAGGTCGCACAGGGTCACGAGCTCTGCCTTCAGGGTCGGCATCGCGCTCGCGATCCACTGGAGGCGCCTCGTCGGCCTTCCTCCCGAGCTGCTCGCTGCCGTCGAGTCCGGACTCACGGAGACCTGAACGTCTTGGTAGCAATGCGGCCTCTGGAACCTGCAGCGCAGTGCCTGCGCCTGCCCAGCGCACCAACGCAGCAGCAACACATAATGGGCGAGAAACCCCCATCTGTCTGCGATCTGATTGGAGCGGGCCTTCGGCATTCGCCGGTGGGATATGGAATGCTTGCTGAGCACGCTGAAAGCGTACACCTTTGGGCCTGAGTGGCTGTGTGATGTCCGGGTTCTCGTCGTTTAGCTCGGGCTCTCGAACCTCGACAACCTCCTTCAAGCCTCCGAGTGCCTCCGAGGTCCCTGGCCTGGTCCCAGACGGGGCCCCCCTGGTTCCTGAAGTTCCCGAAGACGTGGTCTGTGATCCCCTTGGTGTCCCCTGGGTCCCCGGAGCCGTGATTCGTGATCCGCTCGACCCCGCCATCGTCGTTCGGGTAGTCATCGAAGTACTCGGGCTGGTCGCACTCGGGCTCGAAATCGCCTTCGTCGATGTCCTCGGCTTCGCATCCTCGCATCGGTCTGGTTCATCAGATCGAGAGGCAGGAATGAGAGCAGCCACCAGCTCTTTGTTTTCCTGCGCGATCGTCGCATCAGTCAGACACACCACTTCTGGTGTCCTCGTCTCCGCTCTCGCCGGCCTCGTGAAACCTTGCTCACCGAAATCACAGAGAGAGAGGCGCCACTGCTTCGTCTTGGGGTTATCTCGGGATCTCCGAAGGGCCACGGTAACACCCAGAGTCTTCAAGGTGAGCAATCCCCTGGAGGTGTCCATAATCCCGGAAAGGTCCTCGAGCAAGCCCTCTGAGATCAGCAGCGGGGTCCAGCCTGGCACTACACAAAATTTGAGCACTCCACTTCTGCCCCCAAGGCCCACGGGATACTCGGCAACCCAATTTGACTGAGCAGCCTGGCCATTCGCGAAGTGGAAGCTCCTGCCGATACTCGGAACATATCTGATACTTAACCCAAAAAGTCTTCGGAGAGCATAGTCGTGCAACGCAATCGTGTGATCCCCAACGATTAGCCTAGAACACCCCGTATCCACCATGCCCTCCAAGACGCCCAGTAGCTGAGCTGCTGAAAACTTACACAACCTCCTCTTTGCTTCCTCGAGACACTCCCGAAACCTGGACGGGCCCATCTCGGTTCCCGAGGGGGATGTGGTGCCGTCGGCGCTGGAGGCCTGCTCGGCCTGGGCCGTCTGCTTGCGCGCCTTCGCGCGCAGCCTGCGCTCACGATTCTTGATCTTCGCCGGGTCGTCGTCGGGCTCGGGCGGCGGCGGAGGGTCTGCCGCCGGCTCCTCCGGGAAGTCAAAGACGTAGGCCTCCTCGAACTCCTCATGGTCGTGGTCCTCCTCGGCGTGGGCCATGCCGACTCCTTCTGCTGGGGTCTTGCGCACCGGTGGGTTCCTGCACTCTCGCGTCCAGTGGCCCACCTTGTTGCAGCGGTGGCAGCGGGTCCTCTTCTTCAGCTCCTCGATCTTCTTACGGGCTTCCCTCTGGTACTCCATGCTGCCCTTGCCGCGGCCGCCGGACTTCCCCTTCGGCTCACTCACGTCACGGTAGCCCCTGGACGTCTTGCGGTCGCGGACGATCCTCCTCGTATCCTGCCAGCTGCCACGGCCTCCAGGTCCTGCTTGCCACGCCGCCAGCACCGCGTAGGCCTCATCTTCGTCATGGATGTCCTCCTCGTTGATCTCCGCCTGGTCGGAGCCCTCCAGCGTCATCAGCGCTTGTGCGATCGGGTCCTCGTCCTCGTACGGCTCGTCATCCTCATCCACGTAGAACGCCTTGCCACTCTTCTGCTGCCCCGAGGTGTCCCCCTGGTAGCTCCTCGTGGTCTTCTCAAGCGAGCTATCGTCTCGAAGCCCCTTGAGCGCCGTCCTCACGTCATCGTACGCCAATGAACCCGACGTCTGCAGGATCACGGCCATGCGCTCCGTGTGGTCCAGCTTCGCCTGCCGGACGAGGATGTATCCCTGCACGTCGTCCAGTGTCACCTGCAGCTTCCTCAGCCTGTCGAGCGCCTTCTTGATCCTCATCGAGTGTTGCTGCAGGTTCTCTCCCTTCTTGCGCTCCGATCCGTAGAACGTGTGCTCGAACTCCATGTACTTTTCGTACACATTCTTCGGCATGATCTCCTGCTCGAGCGCCCTCACGATGTTTTCTACTCCGTCCTCGCCCTCGAGCTCGCTCTGGTCGAGACCTTCCACGATGCTCTGGATCTGGTCGTCTCCACCCTCCAGGATGCTGTAGTAGGCGCGGAGGCCCCGCTGGTGAGCTGGGATCCCCGTCGCCACCATTGACCAGATCCGTAATCTGCGCACATACATCCGCAGCTCCTCGATCGTTGACTCCCTGATGGTGGGTGGCGGAACGTACCTTCCGGCACTCGCGCCCTCACGCGTGACTGGAGCCACGACCTCTGCACCGTCCTCGTCATCTCCCATGTTGTCGCGATGGGCCGCGATGTCTCCGCCGTGTGGTCACTGTCCACCGTGCTGTCTCTGAAACTCTGGTCCGAGGAAGCGCAACGCAGCGCTCCGCTACCACCGAACACGGTGGAGCGGCGGAAACGTAAGCGTGAGCTCTCGTATGCCTCCGTTTCCAGTATCAGCTCAGGCTAACATGTGTCTGCCTCCAAGGGGCCGAAGCCCCTGATCGAACCAAAAGGTTGCGGAAAGGGGCTGAGTGTCTGGCATCCTCAGAAAGCCTCTAGAGGGACCCTGGGTCAACTCGCACCATGTGTTTTTTTTTGGCAGGGTTGCTCCAGTGCTGCTGTGGCTTCAAATGCCGATGGCAGCGGCGCCCCTGCAGTCCACTCCAAGGTTGCGCCAGGATAATCGCGTCTCGCGGCCTGTGTTGGGGAGTTTTCTCTTCCATGGGTCCTGGAGGGGGGGGGGGCGCGAGAATGATCTCGCAGCGTGCGGATGTCCCAGCGATCGGCGGTGGAGGGTTCGAAACCAGTAAAAAAACACGCGCGGTTTTTTCCTTTGGCGCGACGAGCGTTGATGTGCAGCGATGCAATGCCCGATGCAGGTCCTCCTTCAGAAACCCCCCAACGCCGAAACCGTTGTGGCTCCAGCGCGCAACCCGCCAGGGGGGCCTTTGTTCGGCGGCCCGCGGGAGCAGCGAGTCGCATGGGCGGTGAGGCGGCGCTGGGCGCCGCGTCGGCGCCGGCTTCGTCAGCCGCTGCCGATGCGCCAGCGCCCCCGCCGCATGTTGGCGCTGCCGAGGACGGGCCGCTAGCCGCGCAGCCGTCGCCCACTGTCCAAATCGGGGGCGCGGGCGCCCCATTCGTCGCCGATCGCCGATTTGACAGTGGGGCCCCGTTGTCAAATTGCTGATCGGGGGCGCTTGGTTCCCACCCGTCGCCGATTGTCCGTTTGACAATGGGGCCCCATTGTCAAATGGCCAGCCGGGGGTGTTGGGGTCCCACCCGTCGCCGAGTGTCCATTTGACAGTGGGGCCCCACTGTCAAATGGCCAATCGGGGGTGCTGGAATCCCACCCGTCGCCGATGTCCGAATCGGGAGCGCGGGCGCCCCATTCGTCGCCGATCGCCGATTTGACAGTGGGGCCCCATTGTCAAATTGCTGATCGGGGGCGCTGGGCGCCCACCCGTCGCCGATTGTCCGTTTGACAATGGGGCCCCATTGTCAAACGGCCAGCCGGAGGTGCTGGGGTCCCACCCGTCGCCGATTGTCCATTTGACAGTGGGGCCCCACTGTCAAATGGCCAATCGGGGGGCTGGAATCCCACCCGTCGCCGATGTCCGAATCGGGAGCGCGGGCGCCCCATTCGTCGCCGATCGCCGATTTGACAGTGGGGCCCCATTGTCAAATTGCTGATCGGGGGCGCTGGGCGCCCACCCGTCGCCGATTGTCCGTTTGACAATGGGGCCCCATTGTCAAATGGCCAGCCGGGGGTGCTGGGGTCCCACCCGTCGCCGAGTGTCCATTTGACAGTGGGGCCCCACTGTCAAATGGCCAATCGGGGGTGCTGGAATCCCACCCGTCGCCGATGGCCCGTTTGACAGTGGGGCCCCATTGTCAGTCGAGCAAAGTTCGCTGCGAACTTTTTCCAGCGACTTCGGGGCCCCCGCCGGGGGGGGATAATGGGGGGGGAACAATCTCACACGCCTGAAGACCCCAAACGGGTCGGCGAATAATAATGATGATGATTGGGGTCGCCGTTCGAAGGCGTTGCGCAGCGCAGCAGGAAAAAGGTGACGACGACGGCGACGGCGACGGCGACGGCGATGACGATGACGACGACGAGCACGTCGACGACGACGACGACAACGACGACAACGGCGACGACGACGACGGCGACGACGGCGACGACCGCGACGACGACGGCGACGACGACGGCGACGACGACGACGACGACGGCGACGACGACGGCGACGACCAGGGCGTCCGTCGCCCTGGCAGGCGGTTTTGAGGGGCCTCCCGCCCTGCAGGCCGCCCTGGCCGCCATGCGGAACGCCTCGCTGAGCGGCCAGCCCGGGGGGCTGGTGAACGTGGCGCCGGAGACCGCTGGGTGCCTGCCCGTCCTTCACACTCGTCCTCGCGGTCGTCGTCGTGCTTGGCGTCCTTGGCATCGCCGTCGTCGTCGTTGGCGGCGGCGGCGGCGGCTGCGGCAGTGGCCTCGTCGTCGTCGTCGTCGTCGTCGTCGTCGTCGTCGTCGTCGCCTCGGTATCATTCTTATGATAATTCTAGACGCCTCGCGTAACCCCACCAGCCCATCCAGAAACGATGCCCAGAGGAAGTGCCTCGATCAGGGAAGTGGGCAGCACACAAAGGAAGGGTACCCCAGTGGAGGCCGGTTGGAGCGTCTTAGGGGCCTCTTGGCGGTCCCGGACGCCTCTTAGAGCGTCTTGGGTGCTTTGGAGAGCTTCTTGGGGCCTCTTGGGGGTCTCTTGGGGGCCTCTTGGAGGCCTCTGGGGCGCTTGTTGGGGCCTCCTGGGGCCTCATGGGCGCCTCGTGGGGCCCTCTTGAAGCGCTCTTGGGAGCCTTCAGAGCGCTCTTGGAGCCCTCTTGGGCCATCTTGGAGTCATCTTGAAGCCTCGGATGGCCATCGGAAGCGAAAAGGCGAGAAAGCCAAACATGTTGATTTTCCGAAGGTTTTGGAAGGATTTTGGCCTCTTCGGAGCCTCCTGGGGGAGCTCTTTGGCCACTTGGAGCCGTCCTGAAGCGGTCTTGGGGCCTCTTGGAGCATCGTGGGAGCCATCTTGAGGCATCTGGGATATCTTGAGCCATCTTGGAGGTCATCTTGGGCTCTCCCAGGCACTCTTGGAGTCATCTGAAGCAGTGCCCCCCCCCCAGGAGGCCCAAATGTGGCCAAAACCTTAGTAAAATCAATGATTTGGGCATTCTCGCCGAGGCCTCTTGGAGCGTCTTGGGTGCCTCTGGGGGGTCTCTTGGGGCCTCGTGGGGGTCTCTTGGGAGCCTCTTGGGGGCATCCTGGGGGCCTCTTGGGAGCTTCTTGGGGCCACATGGGGCCATCTTGGGGCCATCTCGGGGCCTCTTGGGGCATCCTGGGGGCCTCTTGCGGCCATCGTGGAGGAAATCGATGAAAGAAGAGGGGAGCTCTAATTAGCGCTGCCCCCTCAGAAGGCCAACATGGGGCCAAAACCATAGTAAAATCAATGATTTTGGCTTCCTCGCCGAGGCGGCCGTTTTGGACGCTCTGACCGCTCCCCGCCCCTCCTGTCCAGGTCAGTGGGGAGGGGGTAGGGGGAGGGGTAAACCCCTCCCCGAAGGGGAAGAGGGAGAGGTGGAAGAGGAAACGCCCTGAACCACCGACGCCCAGAGGGCTGGTGGGATTTCCCACGTAGAGCTTGCAATTAGGGACTCTTACTTGGCTTCACCATCGCGGGGTGAGTGGCAGCTTTTGCGGGCGGTGCCGCCCGTCCCCGCCGTCGCCGTCGCCGTCGCCGCCGCTCGGGGCGAGTGGCGGCTTTTGCGGGCGGTGCCGCCCGTCGCCGCCGTCGTCGCCGTCGCCGTCACCGCCGCCGCTGCTCGGGGCGAGTGGCGGCTTTTGCAGGCGGTGCCGCCCGTCGCCGCCGTCGCCGTCGCAAAGATTCTCCTTTCTAGGAAGAGAGCAAAAATAGACTGTACCCCGCTGGGATTATCGGCACCCCTTCTCGTATCGCAATTTACATATGACTGTGGCCCACCGCCCATACTAAACATGAGCTCGTACCATCCCAGGCAGGCCAGGATCACCCCCCCGTCATCCACTGCAACAAATACTACGCGCGCGCTCGTGCATCAATTCTTTGAACAAAAAGCAGGACGGAGTGCACACGCGCGCGTCTTCGCGCGCGCATGCCGAAATCCTTCAGAACCCTTTTTGGTTTTGCAAGGGTTCAAAATCGAGTGTCCCATATATATATATATATATATATATATATATATATGCAGACCTCTTTTACAACATCGAAACATATAAACACATGGTTTCGCAACACGGAGTTTCCCAAAGAAGCTTGCGCGCGCGTTATGGCACATGCGTAAGAAAACTGTTGTTTTTTCTACACTTTCCAGACCATCTACCAAACGGACATCGCGCGCATGTCGACATCGTTTGAACGCCCTTGCGCGCGTGCTGGGGTGGCACGACCCCTTTCAAATAGTACGATGCGGGCCACTTTCGCGCGTCTGCCGCGCGCGCATTTCGATTTCCTTCCAAAACCTTCGTCACCGACGCGAGGACGCCGTCATCGTCGTCGGCGTGATCAGCATCGGCGTCGTCACTGGCTACTCCGTCGTCGCTGTCAGCATCGTCGCCAGCATCGCTACTGTCATCGTTGTGTCTACCGCTGTCGACGTTGCCATGGTACCGCGCCCGCCACAGTCGCCGATTCGCACTGAAGTACCCGCTGGGATGTGCCGAGCGGTCAGCGCCACAGCGTTCTTGTCGGTAACGCCAAAGTAGCTGGCCGCTGCGCACGCGGGCATGCGCGGGCTAGCGCGGCCTCAGAGATGCACCAGCCACCACCAAACACTCATCGCAATCGCTTCCGCATGCGCGTGGGTTTTGGAAACCAAGTTGCGGGTGGGTGGGCGGGATGATTGCGCGAGCAGCATTGACAAGTACAATTTCGACGAATGAATTCTCCTTTCTAACAGGAGAATGGACTCTACCCTCCCACCCCCAGACTTATCCGTTCCCCTTTCGGGTATGTAAATCATATTTGCTTCTGACCACTCGTCCATCCGAAATATGAAATCATAACATCCCAGCCAGGCCGGGTTCCCCCCCCTGAGGTTCCCTTTTAAGAAACACTATGCGGTGACATTTGTTGTTCTAACATAACACTTTTTTCACGAATCCCTTGCAAAACATGGGACGAAGTGCGCACGCGCGCGTCGTCGCGCGCGCATGCCGAAATCCTTCAAAAACCTTCGGTGCCAGAAGGATTTCGCAATCGAGTTTCCAAACAAATACCCCGGCAAAGCAACCTAACAGCCATGTGTAGGAGCATATCTGGAAGCATTCCCCTTCAGATTCAGATGAAAATCCAGTTGTAGAATTTCTGCTGTTCTCGCAGTCGTAGTCGCATTCGCGATGACAGTCGCAGTGGCAACGGCAGTCGCAGTCACAGCCTCAGCCTCAGCCTGCATCAGCCTCAGCCTCAGCCTGCCTCAGCCTCAGCCTGCCTCAGCCTCAGCCTCAGCCTGCTTCAGCCTCAGCCTCAGTCTGCCTTCAGCCTCGGCCTCAGCCTCAGCCTGCCTCAGCCTCAGCCTGCATCAGCCTCAGCCTCAGCCTCAGCCTGCCTCAGCTCAGCCTGCCTCAGCCTCAGCCTGCTTCAGCCTCAGCCTCAGTCTGCCTTCAGCCTCGGCCTCAGCCTCAGCCTGCCTCAGCCTCAGCCTGCTCAGCCTCAGCCTCAGCCTCAGCCTGCCTCAGCATCAGCCTGCCTCAGCCTCAGCCTCAGCCTCAGCCTGCCTCAGCCTCAGCCTCAGCCTGCTTCAGCCTCAGCCTCAGTCTGCCTTCAGCCTCGGCCTGCCTCAGCCTGCCTCAGCCTCAGCCTCAGCCTCAGCCGCCTCAGCCTGCCTCAGCCTCAGCCTCAGCCTGCCTCAGCCTCAGCCTCAGCCTGCTTCAGCCTCAGCCTCAGTCTGCCTTCAGCCTCGGCCTCAGCCTCAGCCTGCCTCAGCCTCAGCCTGCATCAGCCTCAGCCTCAGCCTCAGCCTCAGCCTCAGCATCAGCCTGCCTCAGCCTCAGCCTCAGCCTGCCTCAGCCTCAGCCTCAGCCTGCTTCAGCCTCAGCCTCAGCCTTCTGCCTTCAGCCTGCCTCAGCCTCCGCCTGCCTCAGCCTGAGCCTGCATGAGCCTCAGCCTCAGCCTCAGCCTGCCTCAGCCTCAGCCTCAGCCTCAGCCTCAGCCTCAGCCTCAGCCTGTTTCAGCCTCAGCCTCAGTCTGCCTTCAGCCTCGGCCTCAGCCTCAGCCTGCCTCAGCCTCAGCCTGCATCAGCCTCAGCCTCAGCCTCAGCCTGCCTCAGCATCAGCCTGCCTCAGCCTCAGCCTCAGCCTGCCTCAGCCTCAGCCTCAGCCTCAGCCTCCTGCCAGCCTCAGCCTGCATCAGCCTCAGCATCAGCCTCAGCCTGCCTCAGCATCAGCCTGCCTCAGCCTCAGCCTCAGCCTGCCTCAGCCTCAGCCTCAGCCTGTCTGCCTTCAGCCTCGGCCTCAGCCTCCGCCTGCCTCAGCCTGCCTGCATGAGCCTCAGCCTCTGCCTCAGCCTGCCGCAGCATCAGCCTGCCTCAGCCTCAGCCTCTGTCTGCCTCAGCCTCAGCCTCAGCCTGCTTCAGCCTCAGCCTCAGTCTGCTTTCAGCCTCGGCCTCAGCCTCAGCCTGCTCAGCCTCAGCCTGCCTCAGCCTCAGCATCAGCCTGCCTCAGCATTCAAAATGTGGCCCGGGAATGGAGTTCTGGGAACTCGAAGAACACGAAGTGGCCTAAAGTTGGGTCCAGGCATTCAAAATCATGCCCAGGAATGGAGTTCTGGGAACTCGAAGACCACGAAGTGGCCTACCGTTGGCTCCGGGCATTCAAAATCATGCCCAGGAATGGAGTTCTGGGAACTCGAAGACCACGAAGTGGTCTACAGTTGGCTCCGGGCACTCAAAATCATGCCCAGGAATGGAGTTCTGGGAACTCGAAGAACACGAAGTGGCCTACAGTTGGCTCTGGGCATTCAAAATCATGCCCAGGAATGGAGTTCTGGGAACTCGAAGACCACGAAGTGCGTTACTGTTGGCTAAAAAAAGAATCCCCGGCATCCTCCCCCGGATCGCGCCCAGACCCCCCTGGGGCGTCATGATGCTCTCTTTGACCTTACTAGAAGCCTATCAGTCTTCGCTGTTAGGTTGCATAAACACAGGGTTTCGCAACACTGATTTGCTAAAAAAGCTTCCGCGCGAGCTCTTGCGACATCTAGGGAAAACCATAGGTTTTTCAAGATTTTCGCAAAATGCTACCAAACGGGCTTCGCGCGCGCGCATGTCGAAATCTGTCGAACGCCCTTGCGCGTGT